ACCACAAACCAAAAATGCTATATAATTAATTTTTAATATTCAAAACAACCTTCTCTATCCATCCATGTCTCCATGCTTTATTTTGCTGAGAAATCATTTTTAAAACACCCCCTAGCATTTCTGACAGTGGCTATTTTGAGTAAGGGCAGATGATTCATGTAGCAGTTACTTCCTGGAATCCATCTGTCCTTAGCTCAGGCATTGGCTGAGCTGAGAACACTGCCTTTCCTCCTGAAGACTCCAGGGATGTATGACATCATTTGCCTAGGCATGGAAACAAGGAAGTAAATGAAGGAAAAAAAAAGATTAAAACAAATAAATATGATATACTTTCCTATCTGTATACTAATAATGCTAGCAGCATACGAATTAGAAATAGTGCATTGTGGTTGAGAGAGTGAAGTTCCACTTTAAAGAGGATATTCAACCTGTTTGAAAAAAAAATAAAAGTCAGCAGCTACAAATATTGTAGCTGCTGACTTTTAATAAAAGGACACTTAAATGTCCAAGGATCCAGCACTGGCCAGTTCTTTGCCAGTCTTTGGGTCCCTGGCGCCAGCATGTGTAATTTGGGAACCCAGCTGTGACTCCTTGCGGCTTCACACTGCACATGCGTGACTGGTCCCACAGCCTCCTGGGACCTGTGACATGTCCCACGAGGTTGCTGGTGGTGGGGGAGGGAGAGGGTTGGGCCCAACTTCCGATGAAATCTCCTAGGCAATTTGACCGGAAGTTGGAGCAGGTACCTACCAAAGCTAGGTACCCACTTCACCCAAAAATATGTCAAAAATGTTAGAGGATCAAGGAGGAGGATACAAAGCAGAACTTCCCTTTCAGGGTTAAGTTCCACTTTAACTCACTAAAAAATGTACCTAACCAGAATGCACAGATGGCTATTTGTGCACTATACTGGGTTGAAATATATGTGTTAACCGTTCCCCGACCTCCCTATAGCAGAACTAATGCTGCGCAAAATCACGTATATATACATGATTTTGTATTTACGGGTAGGGGGCATGTGTGCGCCCTACCCACGCCGCCATTGTCGGCTACAGCTGTCAACCACTGGATCCCAGCCGGAGATTCCCTGCCTGAACCTGGCAATCGCTGAGGAACACTGATAGGGGAGAGGTCTGTATGTAAACAATACAGATCTCTCCCCTGTCAGCTCCAGTATGCTGTTCAACAGCAGAGCAATACAAAGCAGCGTGCTTGCACAGTAAAACACACACAGTACACAGTTAACCATTTGATCACCCCAGATGTTAACCTCTTCCTGCCCAGTGCAATTAGTACAGTGTCAGTGCTTTTTATTAGCACTGATCACTGTATTAGTGTCATTGGGGATGGCAGTGACAGTTAGTCAGTTCCTCCCCAGTGTCAGGATGCCCTCCGCAGTCTCTCAGTCCCGCTATGAGTTGCTGATCACCACCATTACAAGTATTAAAAAAAAAATTCCAGTATATATACCACCATTTGTAGACAGTATAAATTTAACGTAAACCAATTAATTTACACGTATTGGGATTTTTTTTTAGCAAAGACGTGTAGCAGAATTTATGATGTAAGCCTAAATTTATGATGAAATGTGATTTTTTTTTATTTTTTACTGGATATATTTTATAGCTAAAAGTCAAAAATATTGTTTTTTATTTCGAAATTATTGGTCTTTTTTTGTTTATAGCGCCAAAAATAAAAAATGCAGGTGATCAAATACCACCAAAATAAAGTTCTATTTGTGGGGGAAAAAAGGACATAAATTGCATTTAAGTGCAGCGTTGCATGACCACGCAATTGTCAGTTAAAATAACACAGCAAAGTATTGCAAAAAATGGCCTGGTCAGGAAGGGGGGTAAATCCTCTGCAGAGCAAGTGGTTAATGTTTAAAAAAGTAGTCAACTATTCCCACTTTGAATGAATATTATAGACTAATCATTCTATCTATCTATCTAGAGGAATATGCTTGTTTTCCTTTTCCTTTGGATGCACCTGGAAAAACTTCACACTGGTAATCTTCTTCTCACATTGATTTAACACAGAATTGGAATACACAATGGAGAAACAAGCAATATAATTTGAATTCACCAAACCACTAGTTCATTCCTTCTGCTGATGCTAATACTTGTTCCATTCATAAGGCTGCCATAGATTTTGATTTATGTTAGCTTGATTGATTGGGATTTACCTATTACGTGTAGCAATTTGTATTTTTTCGTTCAGTTTGACGTTGAGTAGTTTGAAAACCCATTTGTTTTTACTTCTCCCTAAAAAAGTAAAGAAATAGGCTCTTGTCTTTTTAGAACTACTGCTGTTGTTCCAGCATGCAAAGATCTTTTTGCATCTGATAACCTTGGAGTCTGATCATGCTGTGTATCTGAAACTGGTGCAAACGTGATTGGATTGCACACAAAGGAACTTTTACGGACTCTATTTGTGTACAGATTTTAAATGTAGTTTACACTAGGAACAGAGAAGAAATGGTTTTATCCTTAACTTTAGCTTTGCTCATCCCAGTCCTTCAAAAAGTATATGACATAAGTGCCCCAAATGAGGCTGAAGCCACTTTCTATTCAGTAGATGCTCTTAAAGTGGTTCCATGAATGAAGTTATAAAAAACCTTCAGTATGCAGCTTCCCCCTCCCCCCCCTCCCCTTTTATACTCTCTTCAGTCTGATTCCGATCCAGAGATGCGCACAAGAGCAGAAGCTCTCCCAGGTCTCTACCTCCTCACTGGCTGAGACACAGCAGCGGGAGCCATTGGCTTCATTGGCATGGGGCTGCAGGTAAGTATGATGTGTTTGTCATTAAAAAAATATGAACCTTTACAATCCCTTTAAATTTTGTACTTCTCTTAGAAATTATCTGTCAGGAGTTGGCTCTCCAACATTTAGGTGGAGACATTTTAATTTTCAGGAGAGACTGCGCCCAATATACCATTTGGCAAAAACCTTAAAGGGGTTGTAAACGTCTGACTTGAAACATGAACAAAACATATCCTTCTATAGTGTGTGCTCGTCTCAATCCAGCATACTAAGTGTTATTTCTGTCTGCTACCTCGTTCCTCTTCTATCTGACAGGTTTTCCTGACAACAAGATATAAAAAGATGACAGGGGAGGAACTTCCAACACATAGCCACTGATTGACAGCCTCAGCCCTGTTCCTGTGTTAAGGGGGGTCATTTCCTTCAATCAGCTCTCAGAGCTCTCCTAACTGAGCTCTCCAGAGTGTAACTTCACCTCCTGCTTTCTGAAAGCTCAGATAAGCTGTATAAATGCTGTACATTGAACAGCTGTTACAGAAGAGAAGACAGCAGATAAACAGGTACAACTTATGTAGGAGGATTTGCTTTATCTCTGTGTATCACCTGAGGCTAGTCATTTCAATGTCTATGTAAGGGTTTACAACCACTTTAATTTTTTATTTCATTGAATTATTTTCTACCAGGGCAGTTTTCTGCCAGACTGAGAATGTTCTACAGCAGGGGTGTCCAAACTTTATAAGCAAAGGCCAGTTTACTGTCCTTCAGTCTTTAGTGGGACGCACCATGACCATCAGGAGTATAAAATGTCCTGGCATCAGTGGTAGTAGACAATCCCCCATTGTTGTCTTAGCCAATGAGGAGGCAAAGACCCGGGACAGCTGAGGCTGTCATTCACATCGCTGGATTGCGATAGGGCTCAGGTGGTGTCAGTGAAAGGAATTGTGCCCCATCAACAGTGTTATTGGGAGGAATTGTGCCCCCAACATTGGTGTCATTGGGCCCCATTGTTGGTATCATTGGGATAAACTGTGACCCATCATTTGTGTCATTGGTAGGAATTGTATCCCTTCGTTGGTGTTAGTGGATGAAATAGTGCCCCAAGGGCCGCAAGCAAAGGGCCACGTCCAGTACCCGGGCCACAGTTTGGAGACCACTGTTCTACAGGGTTTGGACTAGACTGGTAGTATATTGGCCTTTTTGAAGTTTAATATAGTCTCTGTAACACTACTGTGTTGAATATGGAGAATTGGGGAAACATATCCCAACTGGCAATCCAAACTAAAAACGTATCCAGATAAGTCAGTGCTTCTATATGGTTTGTCCAGCAGGAGCTGTCTATTTTGGGTTGATTCTTATTACTGGTATTTTTTTAGTGGGGTGTTCTTCCTATCTAACAAGGTTTCCTGAACCCAGGGACAGGACAAGAGTCGGTGGGGCTTAAGAACAACCATCCTGGTGTGTAACACTCTTACCCAAAGGGGGGAAAACAGTCCTCACGAGCATGCTGAAAACTGGAGATGGGCAACAAGTGAACGATGACTTCCCCTCTTCCAGGTTGTGGCTTTCTGTCTGCTCTTACAGCTACTGCCCACACACTACTCTCCAACATGCCCCTGGTGCTCCAACCACTCAGAGTTGACACGAAAAACACACCATGCATGAGAATCTGCTCACCCACCCCCAGCTACTAGAAAGAAAGCAAATGACTAAGCATGCACAGTGCACCCTCCATGCCAACTATGAGCAGCCTGAGCACAGGGGCCATAAAAAATGGCATGCCAGAGGCAGGGTGGTATGCATTAGCAGCAAGGGGGGAACAGTTCCAAATTTTTGCTCTGGGCAACTTTGTCCTTGCACTTCTTGGACCATTCAATCAGACATAGAATCTGGGTCTGCTGATTTACTGCTAAGCAATTTTCTATCAAGCGGTATTAAACCCAAAACTGAAAATGTAATATATTCCAGCTTATAAATTATTAAATGTGGTGGTTGCATTTGTTTTCTCTCTTCAGGCCTTTTCCCTCTGTTTTCAGCTGGTGATCTAGCCAGTAACACATTTTCTGTCTCTGCCTACACTCTGGATGAAAGAGCAACACCTTTGGACAGCAACATTGTCAATCTTAAGGAAGGAGTGTTGTATGCGCTAGCAGATTTAAATACACTAACAAATCAAAGCCAAACTCCAGATAGCACATTTTAACCTCCCTGGCGGTATTCCCGAGTGTAGCTCGGGGTACAATTTCAGTACCACAAGCGGTATCCCCGAGCTACACTCAGGCTTACCATGCAGCGTTGCTCAGGGATTCCCTGCAGCGCTTACCTTGTCCTTCGCTCCCGCGATGCGTCCCCTGCAGCGTCCCCGGCCATCTCCTCCGGCCGATGCCGGCATCCGGCTTCCGTGTTCTGGTCCCTGCGAGCGTCGGGATGTACGGGACTTACGGGGGCCGGAACCGGTGGCAAATTAAAAAATTTTAGAAACTGTTCTTTTCATAAACGAATATAACATAGTAAAACATTGCTGTTTCAAAGCATTTCACATACACTTTGTCCCTAGTGCTTTGTCCTGTGCCCTGCCTGCATTTTGACTGTTCTTTCTGCCTGAAAATGAGAAATGTCCATGGAGTCCAAAAAGCGTTGCTTTAGGTCAAAAGCGGTTTTAGACCAGCTAGAGAACAGCGATAGTAAATTAGAACTACTAGCAGAATTGAGTGATAATGATTTGTGGGGAAATTCGTCATCAGACACTGAAAACGATTCTGTGACTAAGATCAGTGATGTGTGAACTTGCCGCTATATTTCAAATTTCAGTGTTTTTGGTTTGATTATATTATTGAATTAAATTTATTATTATTATTATTATTTTTTTATGATTATTTATTAATTTATAATTTATGATTTCGTATTTCAAATTTTATCATACCCGGGATGTTTACTAGACTCTTGTTCGGACAGATTTCAGTGAGTTGTTCCTAAAAATTACAGGCCTACAATAGAAAACGCCAAATTTCCATGCAAAATAATGGTACCGCTTTCAGCACAAATCTGAAATAATCATACCGCCATGGAGGTTAAGCAGTTGCAGCAACAGTTTCTTTCCTTTTGCAATAAAGGTTTTACAAGAAATAAATAAAGGCTAACCATTGTAAGCACACCTGTGAGTGGTAAATGGTTTGTCTCAACCCTTTAACTGCTGCATCTGCAGCTTGTTCTGTTGAAAAACAACAAACTTACTGGCCAGATCATGAGGTGAAAATAAAAGAAAGCCTAATGCAAGATAACAATTGCAGTCATCTAAGAAATGGCAAGCTACAGCATAATAAATGTTTGTTTTTGGGTTTCCTACCACTTTCACTTATTGTGGACCACTGGTTCTCCCTTTTAAAACAATTAGTTTAGATATAATCTGTTAATAACTAAATGACATAATTGTGATTATGTTAGAATAAGCTTTCACTGGGAGACCAGTATATATTCTGAAATGCTCATAAACTCTGCAGATTAGTTGAAAATCGCTGATGCTCAGCAAAAGTGATGTCTATGTAGGGTTTCATTTTTGCCAGGGACTTTCTCCCTTCCAGATGGGCTTCCTGTCATTGAAAGAAAGGAACAGTATTGAGGTTCATTTTACTTGAACCATCCACCCCATGTAACCTGACACCTCAATTTCCAAGAAAAGATGTTTCTCCAGTAAGAATGTTCATGCTTTAACCTGGCAGCCAGCATAACTGATTTTTTTTTTTACTTAACCACTTCAAGTCCGGACACTTTTACCCCCTTCCTGTCCAGGCCAATTTTCAGCTTTCAGTGCTATCACACTTTGAATGACAATTGCGCGGCGGTCATGCAACACTGTACCCATATGAGTTTTTTAGCAATTTTTGAGACAGATAAAACTGTATTTTGGTGGTATTTATTCACCACTGGGATTTTTATTTTTTTGCTATATAAATGAAAAAGTTCAAACATTTTGAAAAAAAAGTGTTTTTCTTGTAAAATTTTGCAAATAAATAATCTTTCTTCATAAATCTTGGCTAAAATGTATTCAGCTATCTTTTTAGTAAAAACAAATAACCCAAATTAGTTTATAACCAAAAATTATAATTTTTAAAAAATGTTTACATTTTTATTTTTTTTTTATATTATTATTTATGTTGTTGTTTTTTAACATACTATCACCCTAGCAGTACAGTGTCACCATAGTGACACTGTACTACTTGTGGGGGGTGATGAAGATTTATTTTTCTTTTTTAAACTGTGATTATTCACAGATTTCGCTAGTAGTAAGCAATGTCAGAAGTGACATCTTGCTTACTACTGTTTAAGTGATCACTGATTGGCCAATCAGTGATCACATGATCGGGACCTCACACAGGTCCCGTACAGTGATCGGTGTTCTGCTGCGTCCTCCGGACACAGCAGGCACCGGAACGCGGTGCTGCACGCTCCCAGGGAGCACGCACAGGCAGGGAATGCGGGGAGGACGTTTATAAATGGCCACCTGCTCCTGCACTGCTCCCATCCAGCCATTTATGTACATGGGCCAGACGGGAAGTGGTTAAAGAAGAACTCTGGGATAGGCAAAAAAAAATCTCCCATTAGTATACCCCCTATACAAAACACTAAACAGTTGATACAACTTTGCAAATCATTACCATTGAGGAGAAAAGTCTATTGAATTTTCATGACCTCATCTCTGTAATTCAATATCTGCTCTGCAGGACAGCAGGGATGATATCACATCCTCTCCTCTCTCTCTGCAGTAAAATGAAACTACAATTCCCATCAACCAAAGGGAATTATAGTGAATGTCGGCAGGTACACTAGGCCTGTACATGTTCAATGTGTCTGAGAGTCTTCGTCGGCCCACCAATGGAAGTGGGGTTGAATGACATTACTGCTTCCTGGAGAAAGAATTTCATAAGGGATGTGGCATGACTAGTGGCTGGGGGAATAGGGGGCATAGCAGCCATTGGTCTTACAAAGAGGAAACCAAAGAGAATTAATGGTTTGATTTAAAAATGAATATGTTATTTCAGAACAACTACTGAGTGAACCAGAAGATGGATGACATATTCAGTAAAGGTAGGAAATCAGCAACAAGGACATGTAAAGAAGTTTTTGCCCGGATTCCTGCCTTAACTTGACCATGACAAAAAAATCATGATTGAGAAGATCCCTGTAGATACTAAGGTCTAAAATAGGGAGCTCGGAGATGGAAGAGTTTCAGTTGATCACATTTGCAATGTATGGGAAAGATGTATATCAGCTCACTAGAAGTACCTAAGTACTCAATGTAATTGCCTCCTTTGAAAATGGCTATAAATAAAGGAGAGTTTCTACCCAGAACCTCTCCCTTGAAATCATTTTGTTGACTGAAACTGTAATTTCAGTCAATGTGAATTATATTTTTTTCATTTATTTTCTTAGAGGAAATATATAATAAATAACTTGATCTAGCAGTTGTTAGGAGTAGAAACAAGAATTCCAATAGGTATTTTTTGTAAAGGTTTTATTATTACTTGTATTTCTTAAGATGTATTATCCAGGCATCTTGTACATATTCTTTTGAGTTAGGCCAAAAGTTTTGTCCCTACTAGCTTTAAAATGGAACTAAGCCCACCGATTTAACCTTTTCCCAAAACAGTTACAATGATTAGAAGCTCTCAATCGCAAGTATGCATCAAGAGCTGCACATGACAGCTTAAACCAGGGGTGAGCAACATGTAGATCATGATCTACCAGTAGATCTTGGTCCAGGTGACTGGTAGATTGCAGTCTGGGCTTGCTGACCCATCATCCCAAAGCATCAAACAGAGTGCAATGCAGAGGGACTACTTGTAAAGTTGGAGCTGTAGTAGGGAGCAAGAACTGCATAAGTTGATGTCTCCTTTGTAGTGCTGCTTCTACGCCCTGTCATGGATTGTGGGTGTAGCACCAGCGATAAATGACCCATTCAAGTGAGGCTACTCTGCTATTGCCCTGCAACCTTGTGTAGTACAGCAAACAAGGGGTTAAACAGACAGCATTGTGTTGCTTTGTCACCACCTGCTTTAAGTCCTTGGACCCCACAGAAGCATGCAGTTGCGGGGCACTTGCTGAGTGGCTCATTTACTTGAATGGGTCTCAGTTGACAGGCGGTAGCACCCACCAAACGTAACAGGGGGTGTAACTCCTGCTGCCGCATGTGTACACCTTTGGCTGTTGCCTCAGCAGCTAAAGAGGGGTAGGGATTGAGGGCGGTAAAACCGTGATTCAGCTGCAGGGTTTTACCCCCCCCCCCCCCCCCCCCAATTTTACATGTGAGCAATCCCTTAGGGTGCCGCTGCCGATTACAACCAAGGGCTCATTCACAGGTACAATAGGCACTGCTGCTCCTCTGCAAAGTGATTCCAGTGTGTTTGACAGGTGGTGAGGAAGTTATATTTTGCCTCCATATTACCTGATTTAAACCCATGATTGCTGTGCAATGCATGTGATTGTGACACGGCAGTATGGCAATTAGAGGTTTAAATCAGGTGTGAGGAGGCAACACTGTGCCCGGTGATCTTTGACTTCTCCCATGTTGTTCAGGTAGATCTCCACCTCTTTAAGGTTGCCTACCCCTGGCTTAAAGGGTAAATTCACCTTTGAGAACATGTTACATGTTCCACCCATTTTTAGGGTTCTCATAGCTGCAGCCACACCTGCTGCCCCCTACCTCTGACAGATTATCTGTCTGATTGACTATCTGTCAAATTTGAAAACAGCATGGCCGTGTGGGGCTCTGCCCACATGGCCGCATCATTCATTCATGGACTTCCATGAATGAATGAACTGCAAGTCCCAACAGCCTTAGCGTCTGTAGGCTTGTAGTTTTCAATGAACTACCACAGCGTTGTGGAGCGCCATGGTACATCATTGAAGCTTCCTGCCAGAATATCTGCTTGCTCATACATCCCGTACGGCAAGCAGATATTTTGACAGATCTGCTGGAGACCTGCATGGCATCAGCGATCTACTGATTGCTGGTGCAATGCTTTCCAGGCTCCTGTAGACAAAAATAATAAATGCACATTTTATTTCAGGTAAAATAATGTGTATTTATTATTATTTTTGTCTAAAAGGTGAACTTATCCTGTAGCCTCCCTGGCGGTATTCCCGAGATTAGCTCGGGGTAAAGTTTCAGTACCACAAGCGGTAACCCCGAGCTACACTGGGGCTTACCATGTGGCGCTGCTCCGGGATCTGTTCTTCACTTACCTTGTCCTGCGCTCCCGCGATGTCCCTCCTGCAGTGTCCTCTGTAATCTCCTCCGGCGGATGCTGGCATCTGTCATCTGGGTTCCGTCCCCTGCAAGCGTCGGGATGTACGGGGGGACAGAACGGCGGGAAATTTGAAAATGAGAAAAAGTGACAAAATACACTAAAATCACATAGTAAAACATTACTGTATCAAACCATTTCACATACATTTTGTCCCTAGTGCTTTGTCCTGTGCCCTGCCTGCATTTTTACTGTTCTTTCTGCCTTGAAACTGAGAAAAGTCCATGGTGTCCAAAAAGTGTCCCTTTAGGTCAAAAGCGATTTTACACCCGCTAGAGAACAGCGATAGTAAATTA